ATGAAGCGGCTGGGGACTTTGGATACAGAGGGGGAAAGGAACTGTGGGCCAAAGACTGAGGGGGGAGGGGGAGGGGGAAGGGGGAGAGTAAAGCACGTCTAGGATATGCCCTTTGGTAGGAAGACAATGCATGGAGGGGATTGGAACCATGACAATGTAATGGTATACGATGGAATGAATATGGAACTGAGGTTCTCTCATGTAAGCTATCATATAATTCTCAATAAAACATTAAAAAAAAAAGAATTAATCATGTCATGTAGAAAAATAGCATGATGTTTAAATGATGGTATCTATTCTTGATTTTTCAGATGCTTTAAATATGCTTTATGCTTCCCTGGACCATGCTCCCTTTGACTATGATCAACTACCTGCCTTATTTTTTGTTGCAGAGTCAGTTTTATATAGACTCTGTTGTGATGCATTCATAAAGACATACTTATATTCAGTTGAAATGAAGTTGGCAAAGGTATGTTTAAAACTATTTTGAAATATTTTTATTTACTACATATACTCTATGTAACCACCTGGCATCAGTATTAGATACAAAGGGGTTATTTGATTTTATTATGGTATACTCTCTTGTTTTGCAGTTTATTTTAATTTTCTGTGTTTGTGGGTAATGCCTTAATGTTTGGTAGCCAAATAGAGATGGTTTGAGGAAATATAATACTAAGAACTGTATAAGAAAATAATACCTATGTGATGCTGGAAGCTTTGCCATTGATAACTTAATACCAGTGGAAAGCACCCATGGTGGACAGGTTTTAGTTGATCTTCCAGACTAAGACAGTCTAGGGAGAAGGAAAGGCAGACTTCATCTGAATGTTTAGCTACTAAAAACCTTATGAATAGCAGTGGAAAACTGTCAGAAAGCACCAGAATATTATATATTGAAACATGATGAATAACACCAGAAAGTTGCCAATATAGTGCCAAAAGATGAGCCAATACAACTGGGGAAGAGCTACCTCCTTAAAGTAGAATTAACTGTGATGATTTGAATCAAAGAAAGTTTTCCTAACCACTGGACCAATAAATAACATCATGATAAATGGAGATAAGATTGAAATTATCAAAGACTTCATTCGGCTTGGATCTACTATCAACATTCATGGAAGTAGCAGTCAAAAAATCAAATGATGTATTGCATTAGACAAATCTGTATAAAATGTCTTTGAAGTGTTCAAGAGCAAAGATGTCAGTGTAAGGATTTATATACATCTGACCCAAGCCATGGTATTTGCAATAGTCTCATATGCATGTGAAAGTTGGACAATGAATAAAGAAGACCACAGAAGAATTGATGTATTTGAGTTATACTGTTGGGAAAGAATTAAAAGTACTTTGGCCTGCTAGAAGAACAAACACATCTGTGTTTGAAGAAGTATAACCTGAATGCTCCTTAGAAGTCAGAATGGTGAAAATTTGTCTCTCATACTTTTGACATATTTTTGAGAGCGATCAGAACTTGGAAAAGGACATCATGCTAGGTAAAGTGGAATCAGCAAAAAGAGGAAGACCTCCAATGAGATGGATTGGCACAGTGAAAGCAGCAATGAGCTTAACAATGAATGTGAGGATGGCATAGGACCTGGCAGTGTTTTATTCTGTTGTGCATAAGGTTGCTATGACCTGGAACCTACTCGATGGCACATAAAAACTAAAGGCCAAGTTTGAACCTATTGTTTGGATGTATACAATGGGATTTCAGAAGCTGGGGATAATTAA